TAAATAAAATATTTATATTTCAGAAAAAATATTCAATAATTGAAAAATTACCCAAAATGTTTATGATGAAAAATCCCACTTTGGAAAATTATACTATTAAATTTTTATACAATTTATCATTTGATGTAACACTTAGTGATGAGATTTTAAAAGTTGGACTACTACCAAAGATAACAGAATTAATAGGTATAAACTAAGAAATGAATAAATATTATATTTATCTTTTTATTCAAAATATCTGTGATTATTATGGTAAAATGTATGAAAATTGTATTTTAATTATACTGAATGRACTCGTTTCATTTTATGACAAATTTTGCAATTTTAGGCACAGAAGAAARTAGTGAGTTGGTATGCCGGTTATGTTACCATTGTAGTATGGATGATCGATCTCGAGCCTTGTTTTCACATACAAATTGCTTATCAAAGGTGAATTAGTTAGCTTATATTCGTGATTTGTTTTAATAAAATTGTTAATTGATATTTCAGATTTCAGATTTACTATTAACATTTAATCAGTACAATTTAATATTGGCTGCATTATGCACAAATTTAACTTTAAATGAACGAAATTCGCAACTTTTAATTGCAAAACAAGGTTTGAAACCTTTTGTACAGTTAGCCATTGATACATCAGATTTAATGTATTATAAAATCCTTCACAACATGTCTAGCCATGAGTCATTAAAACCTCAATTTGTAGTATGTATTATTATTTTAGTTTTAATATTATAACATAAAAATGTATAGTATAGTAAGTATGTAATAAAAAGAATAGCAGTAACTAATTGTTTATGTAAAATTATCATTTATTTATCTAATGCACTCAACCAAAAAAGTTTGTGTATCAAACACAGAAAACTAATGACAAAAATTGTAATTGTATTTAAGTGTTTATAAATTATTGTGTATTTTAGCAACATTTTTAAATAATAATTTAACTTATTGTAAATAATTTGAATTTACTAATATTTTTTAGTCATTCTACAATTAGAATGTTGCTTTATCAAAATAATGAAGTGATATATTTCAATAATTTTGTATTTATAGCATCAATAATATATTTATGGAAGATCAAATATAAAGTTATTTGGTTTGGAAGTAATACAGTGATATTTACAAAAATATATGCTTTTTAAGAAAAATCTACTGCCATTMTTTTTTTCATATACTAAATAATAACTTATTAATTTTGATTTTAAATAAATATTACAGGAACTTATTGGACAATTTGCTCATTTAGTTMCTATATTAAAAGATATTGAATGCATAATCGAATGTGTTGGAATTATTGCTAATGTAAATGTTCCAGAAGTAGACTTTAAAGAACTTTTGGAGTCAAATAATTTAATTTCATGGATGGTACAATTTGTAAATAGTGGTATAGTATTTTTTTAAATTATTATTTAGTCTTAAAATAACATAATCCTTGTTGGTATGTATCTGAAATTTAAGTATTAACTAATTGACCCTGTAGACTTTGTTGTCCATTAAAAATGTCAATATTATATTATTCAAACTGTGTTAAATTTGTTACTTGACATTCGGTGTAATAGTGTTCAAAACTAAAAAATGTCATCTACCATCTTGAGTCTCATTGTCTCAAAATACTTGTGTAAGCAAAACATTAAAATGCCTTCTCTGTGCAAATTTACATAATATTTTTTTTTTTATGATGATGAAATTGGTGAAAACTACTGAAGTTTCAGAAAATACCAGAACACAAACAATTTTTATCTTTATAATATTACTATACAGTAATCCCTTGTTATTAAAAATCCACGATTTCGATTATCCGCGGTTGGGTCGGCGATAACATTTTATTAATGCATATGATGAAATTGTATCTTTATTATACCCATACTTATAACAGATAAGCTACATAAAGTACATACCTTAATATGTACGGTTAATTTGTTATATCTTAAAATTGCTCTGTTAACAAACATCCATTACAAATTTTTTTCATCCTTCCTAATATATTATCCTTGACTATAAATATTAGTATTAGTATAGTATTATAGTATATTATTAATACTAGTATTTATAATCAATGATATTATGTATGTATAAATAATTAATAAATGATATTAAAAAAATAAATAATCAAATAATTGTAAAAATATTAACCTTTTTGTGATTTTTAAAATTAAATACAAAATAATATGTACAATATAATAAAAATTCAAAATTGTATGTAAATAAAACCTAACTTCCCGTTTTACATTGCTTTATGGTCTCGTTATCCGCAGTTTCGATATCCTCGCAACTTAGCTG